GGCTATCAGGGACAGCACTGCCTAAGGGCTGTGCCCTCCACTGTCTGAGGGGGCCCTGAGGAACTGCGGTCTCCCCGACACCAGGACAGGGCCCAGAGAGCCGACGACGGAGTGTGCGGACCGGGGGCCAGCCCGCAGCGCCCCCCCCCCCGCCCACTGCCTCCCCGGCCCTCATCTCTGGGCTCCGGGGGTGGTGGGGGGCACCCTACCCTGGGCAGAGAGCTGAGGCCCAGCCGGGAGGGCCGCCAGGCAGAGGGTCCTACCTCCCCATCCTCCCAGCGTGGACAGACCGCCCCCCGTGAGCTGGGACGTCCAGCCTGTCTCAGGCGGCCTCACCCCTGCACTGGCCCCAGGTCCCGTGGGGGCTCCTTCTACCCTTGCTGAGCCCTGACCCCCTGCCCAGGGACGTCCTCACCTGCACCCCATCTCTCCCTGAGCCTGGCCTTGGCCACAGTCTGCCCCAGGGGTTCTGCGGGCTCGCACGTGGGTCGTGACCCGTGTGGAAGGGAGATCGCTCCTGGGGGTGCAGGCACGGGCAGGGGGGCTCCTGGGCCTCAGTGGCTCCTGTCCAGGTTTATCTCACCCCCGGAAGGCACCCAGTCCCCTCACGCTGAGGACTGAGTGTGTCCACCGTACTTGGACCCTCCTCAGGCCGGGCCCCGGGAGAAGGTGGCCGGGGTCGGGGCCGTGCGAGTCTTCAGGTACAAGCCAGCGCCCCAGGATTTGAGGCTTCTCACTTCTGTGGTTCAGAAGGTCACATCGAGGGTCACCAAGGGCTCTGGCAAGGCTGACCCAGGGCGGGGGCGGGCGAGGGGGCTATATATAGTCCAGGGACACCACAGCCAACCTAAAGGGACACTTCCGGCCAAAGTGAGGACAGAATGAGTAGCAAAAAAAGACAAAATCGATCATAAACAAAAATCCACACACCCAGCTGATCCTCAGGAAAGTCTTTCCCTGCTGATGCAGATTCTTAAACAGCGAGAACAGGTGACAGGAAAGAATTGGGGACTACTACCCTGTTTTCTCAGGAGGAAATAGAGCCCATCCCAGGAAGCTCTTCAGGGAGAATTCCAGCTGGTGGACAGACGGGAGAAACGCTGGAACCCACCTGGATGGCTACCCTGGGGTCACGGGGGTGGGGAGCTGGGTGTGCGGGGCCACTGGCTGTGTGCCCCAGGCACTGCCCCAGACACCCAGCCGGGGAAGTCTGATGACCCCCCACAGGAGCCACCAGCATGTCCATGGCCATCCCCCTCCAAAAGCCACACGTAGGGGGAGGAGGGACAGCCAGATGGGGTCCTGATTTAAAACCTTCAAAACCTGCTTCAACTGTGGTGGGGGGGCGACTGGGGACGTTCTGTTCCGGGTGGCAGCATGTGTTTTTACACGTGGCGATGCGCCCCCCTGAAGACTGTGGGGCCGAGAGGTAGACAACTGCGTCAGAGTGTATTCAGGCACCCACCCGCCTGGGGAAGAGGACACCGAGAGGTCGCTATCCAGCCTGGCGACACTACAGGGTGGGAACAAGATTCCGGAGGCCAGGGGGCCAGGACAGAGGTGCAGACGCACACACCAGGTGAGTCACCCCAGGCCGCGAGGGGAAGGCAGAGGGCGAGGCCGGACCTAGAGGTCCGAGAATGAGGGCTCCGGACCCTCTGAGGGCGGGCGGAGTGTTGGCGCCTTGCTCCCTAAGCCCCGCGGCAGCCCGCCCCCGGGCCTGGGCCGGACCCCACCGGCCCTGGGGCTCTGAGAAGACGCCGGGCCGCGGGCGGAGGCGGGGCCGAGGTGAGGGGCGGGGCCAGGTGGGCGAGGGGGCGGGGCAGTGGTGAGGAGCGGCGGGGAGGTTCCGGGGAGGACTGGGCAGTTCCCCTGTCGGGCACCCCAACCTGCCCACCTGGGCCCGTCCCTCTCCGGCCAGCGCCCCGCCCCGGGTCTCCGTCCGGTGTCCCGGAAAGCCGCGCCTCGCCCGCAGCCAGTCCCCTCGGTGTCCAGAGCGCGCACCCGGAACCCAGCCGAGTCCAGGCAGGAGAGAGGCCGGGGGCAGAGCTGGGGCTCCGCCCGGCCAGCGCTAGAGGGCCCCGCACCACGCCCGCACTGCGCCCGCCTCGCTGCCTCCCCGCCTCCCGGCCTTGGCCTCCCTCCAGGCTCTGGCCTTCGCTGGCCTCCTTGCCATCCGCGTCACTATCGCCGCGTGTCTCCCGAGCGCTGGACACAAACACGGGGTCTCTGGCAGGCTGGAGGGGCTTGGGGGCCGGGAGCGCTTTCCCGAGTCGGGTCAGGTATTGGGCGGCATCGTTATCCAGAACCAAGCTCCTAGCAACCTCTCCTGCTCTCCAGAAAGAGGCCCCAGAAACCCCCTCAGTTGGAAGGTGAGTTGGACACAGCAATAAGGGGAGCGAGTTTCTTAGAAGCCAGAGTAAAAGTTCACACCATCCAAGACCGTGAGGCACGAGGGACAGAGGGAGGGGCACCAGGTGGCAAAGCAGGGGCTAGCGGCGGAGGGACAGCCAGCCCTGGGCAGCGCTGGGTCCCAGGGAGGACGCGAGTCTGCCTAGCCACCTGTCCCTGAATCCACCCGAGTCCCCCACTTGGCCTGGGCACTGCTGCCTCCTCCACGAAGCCTTCCCAGACTTAACTCCCACCACCGCTGGGTGGGTGCCCAGCTCTGTCTTCCGTCTCCCTCGGGCTGTGAACCGTGTAGTAGACGGGCCCAGATGCTGTCACTGGGTCCTCAGCACCCCAACGAGCCGAGCATCAGCATGCAGCACCTGCCCAAAGTTGAAGGAGTGGCGGCGGTGGAGTGCAGGGGGCAATGGTGGGGCCCAAGGCGGGTGCCAGGCCTGGGAGGGGGTGGGAAGGCAGCCAGGAGCAGGAGTGTGGCCAGGAGTGCAGAGGGCTGAATAGGGCGCCAGGTGAGGGCTTTGTTTACATGGGGCTCCATGGGGGGGGGGGGACCCACCTAGAAACGTCCCCCTCTCCCAGCTGACAGGGTAGGCAGACACCAGGGGGCAGGGTGAGGAGAGGGAGGCCTTGGAACCAGCAACAGGTACCTGGACGTGACCCTCAGGGCCCCTGAACTCCACGAGCTGGGGGCAGATGGGGGATGGGCAGGCCCAGAGCATTTCCCCATTGCCCCCTCCCACAAACACATCACCTGCATTCCCTGCCCTTGGAGACCCCCGACCAAGGCGGTGAAGACCACTGGTGACCCTGAGGTTCCGCCCTGCCAGCGTCGGGCCCCCGTGCAGCTGGGCACACCGGATCACCCTCACCCTAGCTCTGCCCAGGACACATCGTCTCTGAGCCAAAGACCAGGGCTGGAAAGCCTTGGGAGGGGGGCCCCCACCCCTGCAGCTGTTGCTCCAGCAGCAACTATTGACCCCTCCCTCCTCGGGGGACAGATGACAGGACTTGTCCCAGGTGGGCGGTGAGTACCCGGGAGCTGCCCGGGACTCCAGGACAGGAGACAAGAAAGCATGGATCTGGACCAGTTGTCTGTTTATTTTTTGGAAAGCACGTCTGCTGGTTTGGGCCAACACCTTTGGCCCCCACAAGGCTGGGGGCCCTGAGAACCGAGACCACCCTGAGCCCGCTGACAAGCAGAGAACAGCCGCCCAAACTCAGGGCCATTAACAGTACAAAAAGTAACAAAACTGAATTTGTGGCTTTCTCTCCCAAGCTTTGAAAGGTAGCAGTCCGGGCTACAAAAGTCTAGAAGCATTGCGTAAGAAGTGTTAAATCTACAGCAAATACATCTTGTAAAAACTCAATAAATTATATATATAGATATATATAAACTTGTAACATCTAATAACATCTGAACCTGCATGCAGGGCTGCCCACCCCCCCCCCCCCCCG